AGGAGGGGCTCCGTACGAGCGGACCCCGGAGCCATACGCCGGGTACGCACCATACGCGTACGTCTGGGAGTGCGCTGAAGGCGGCTCCGGACGTGGCAGCAGAGCCTCGATCCGTCGGATTATGCGGAAGGCCTCGTCCCGATCGGACGAAGAGGCCCGCCGGATGCAGGCTCGCGATCTCACACTCCAACAGGTCCAGGCAGCCCGCATGACGAGCGAGCTCGCCCTCATTCCCGGTCTGGGCGGCAACATCACCGCCAGTCCTATGACCAAGTGCAATCTCAAGCACGAGGACGCGTTGACGAAGGCGGTCAACCTCAGGGCCCTGTGTCACCCGCAGAAGAAGCACATGGACGAGAGTGGCATTCGGGAGGCGCCGAGTACTCGTACTCGTACGAGGGCACCTCCGCCCCTGCTTGGCCGGAATGGAGAAGTCTACTACCACGTGGAGAAGATCCTCCAGGAGCAACGGCGTCGCGGTAAGCGACAGCTCCTCGTGAAGTGGAGGGGTTATACCCACTCCGAGAACTCATGGGAACCCGATTGACCGGCTCCTGATTGACTGCCCGAAGGCCGTCGCAATCTGGGAACAGAAGTGGCGGCATCTTCATAAGTAGGCCGGGGCTTCTTGCCCGAACGGGGTACGGACGTCGACGACACTCCGTACCCGCGCTCATCGTGAGCGCTAGAAGCCGCGCGCTTCAGAATGTTCGTTGGCAGCATGCGCTTGCTGACCATGTGGCAAACCGAACACGAAGATCACGCTGGTCTACGATGCGGGACAGCAGCTGATCTTCATGGAGTTCCCGTAACTCCGAGGATGAGTACTTGAGAGACCCCACCCAAGCCCAGAGCATGTCCTCACAAAAACTCCAGTTGGGACAGTTATCGGGAAGAACCCAGGGGTAGCCCCAGAGAGGGTAGAGACCACCCTGGTTCTCGGTATTCTTACGACAAGTCGTGAAGTCCTTAAGAGGGATTCGGTGCGGCGCTAGAAGCATACACCGGGTCGCCTCCAAGTTGTCAGCGAACTAAAGCTCCTTCAGGGCCAGGGCACGTTCGTAAACGTCCTTAGAAGTGTGGCCAGCGACAAGGCCACGAGGAGCGACGAGGATCTCCAGAAAGAGGCAAGCCCCAGAGCTCTCCTCGGGTGACCAATAACCGCTTGATTTGATGGCAGCTCCCTGATTGACGGGTGCCACCACTTGACCCCAACGCATGCGCTTGGCAGCTTGGAAGTCCTCCTGCTGCTGGTCGAGGTCGTTCGTGATCTCCCGGGGCTCATGGAAAACACCCTCCTCCTCGTCTTCCTCTTTATCCGAGGAGCCGAAAAGGCTTCGATAGGTGTACCCAATCTCTATCCCCTTGCGGAGTGGAGACTTCGAAGCCGTGCGCTTCTTAGAGGGGTTGGCGTCTTCGGCTTTGGCGGCCTTGGTACGCGCAAGACCCTCGGCAAGCGAGAGACGTTTGCGAGGTCTCTCTTCCTCGTCGCCACTAGCTTTGGGAGTGCTCTTAGCCTTGACGGCCGGGCTCTCAGAATGCACCGACGTCCTGGGACTGTGATCACCGTGATCACTAGCGAGCGACTGCACGATGTCGTCGTCGTGCTCGCTGGGCACTGGCGTGTGCCCTTCCACGGAGCGCACAGGAGCATCGTGAGTGCTCCCGGACTCAGCCTCGTCCTCACTGCTCGAATTGAACTCACGTTCAGCGAACCACAGATTCGACCGGTTGTCTGGAGAGACCATAGGTGACTGCTTGCGGCGCTTACTTGCGCGCTTGCTCGCAGCCGCGTCACCGGGCCAAACCGATCACCTCCGAGGCCACCTTAGTAGCCTCCTGGAGTGCAGAGCATTTGCCGCGAGGCTTAGTGCTCTTGTCTTGCGCCCAGCCTTGGACCGTGCGTTTGCACCGCTTTTCGCAGTGCCACGGGGCATGCCGAAGGTCGAAGTGTAGACCGAGAAGAAATCGCTCAAGTTCTGCTCTAGGCGCTAACTGTAAAAGGGAGCCTCCGCAGCGTCCGTGCAGCCAAGTCGACGTATTTCGACTTTGTGAAGAGAGTTTGTGACGTACACTTCCTCATTCTGATTGGTCGGTAAACCGAACCTTAGTGGGGAGGATGTAACGGGGTACGTAACCCCAAACGTACCCCTTTCTACATGAAGTGTGACACGTCATACTTTGGGATATATGGTACATGGTACCAGAGTCGTCAGAGGCCAACCATTGGCTGATGACATAGCTTTACTAGAGGTGACTTATAGTTTGTATATTTAACTTAAGCTTAGCCTACGTGTAAATACATTCAGTTTACAACCTACCTTAAATTGGTCAATTCGCTCCCTTTGACAAAAGGGACCTGCTCATTGTGAGTTTGTAAGCTCTCGGAAGCCAACTTCCTCTAGGGAAAAGTGCTGTGTGACCCCGTCACCACTTGGAGAGTTTTGAGGAAAAGTAGCAACCAGTTGACGTGGTAACTACACGTACTTCCTCAGTCCGAAAATATAAGCGGGGCATCTGTTTAATACGTGTCAAGCGGTGTGTTTACAAATTCAAGTCATTTGATAGTACTGTCGTATTTCGCCAAAGTATGCCCATACTAATGCTGTTGTTGTTTTCGGCCGCTGCAAACCAGACCCTAAGCATTCTACGTGGCACCCTTCAATAGAGAATCGCGCGTGCTACATCTCTACAGGTTTCTATAACATTTTGTGGAAAATTGACATCCTGGCGAAAGATTTTCAAATTTCAAATTCTCACCACGAGCTTTGCACTGTGCTTCAAACGTCCAAATCACCGTAATCTAAACAGTGATTTGGACCAATCAGTTGCTCGTTTACTGTTAAAGGTTTTCTGTTCTTTAATTAGGCCGTGTTTGATCTAAGCTAAAACCAGCTGTAATTGTTATTAAAGAGCTGGAATGTCTCAGCCAGCCTAAGAAACACAAAAAATGACATCCAGCAGGATAGCTCCAAACGACTGGTTTCAAAATTCAGCTCTGGGCTGAATTTGATTCGTCCTCCTTTGCCCCTTAAAACAGTGACAGTAGTTCTAAAACCAACGGATGGAGCAGCAGACAAAGAAACAAAGGGCGACCTGGAGGCGTGTGGATGAAAAGGCGCTGCTTAAGTGCTACCTTGCAGCGCGCAGCGATGCTTCCTTAAAAAGAGACAAAGGTGTCAAGTCAAAGGGCTGGGCGCTTATCGTAACGCGCCTAGCGAAAGAGGGAATCTCTGCTGACAAAGGTTAGTGGTTTCAGTTGTCCGACACTATTGTACTGACCGTATTATTGTATTTGGCAGACCAATGCAAAACTAAATACTCAAGACTGATGTACGGATACGATGTATTAAAGAGATTTATGTGACTTAAGTGGTGCTGGCTGGGACAGCAAGATCTATGCTCCTACACTCACTGACGAAAACTGTCGTAGGAGCTTTTATCCATTCTGAAGTGATCGCGGAACAGAAATGGATTAGGACTGGTGTAGATTGACTGGAAAAAACATGGCTGGGGGTCGCTGTGCTCAATAGCCGTGGTATAGGTTCCTTGAGTGCTATTTGCTTTTGAGTTGCTGCATTTTAGCAAGCGCTTGGAGGAGCCACAGGTCATCGTCGTCGTCGTGGTCGCTGTCTACCATTTTTTACTGGTGATTGGTCTTTTTTTCTTTGTCTACCTGAGTATAATGGTTGGCGGTCGCAGACGCCTTCAAATCCAGCCTCTTTCTGATGGAACACGATCACTTATTTTTATCTTTATTTTACTTAACAAAACGACTGTTCTACAGCTCTAGCTTATTTTCAAACAAGCTGGATTTGCCCCTGCAAACCGAACACGGCCTTAATTTTACCCGCTTATCCTGCTTAGTACAGTCACACCTCCTTATTTGGACCTCTATAACTGACCACTAGCTCTCAACTTGAATGTAGTATCTCAAAGCAAACGAGACTATATGAGGTTCATTATACCAGTCCCTCTAATTGACTAAAACCCTCTCTATTCGCTAAATGACAGTCAATTCCGGAGGTAAAACTCTCTATCTGGACAGGTGACCGTCCACCATAGAATCCTTCTCACTTTCAAATTCCAGCTGAATCCCGTCAATATTCCTTTTATAATTCCCGCTCGCACCATGACACCGCCACACTCAGCAGGCATTGGCAACTATGAGCAGAAAAGGAAAGAAACGCGATAAAGCTCGTATCACAATAGCATTCTGTTGTAATGCAGCGGGTTCGCACAAGTTAGACCCGGTCGTGATTGGCACAGTAGAAAACCCACGTTGTTTATTGGCGGGGGTGCTCGTGCGCTAAAAGGCAAGGCTGTTCAATACTACAAAAGCAAAAAAGCATGGATGACAGCCCGAATATTTTCCGAGTGGGTACAAAGTTTCAACTTAAAGATGGCTGTTTAAAATCGCAAGGTCCTGCTGTTGATTGACAATGCCTCAAGTCACAAGATTACCCGGTCATACTCAAACATCGAGGTACGCTTTCTTCCTCCTAATCTAACGTCGTCTGTCCAGCCTTTGGATCAGGGTGAGCTATATGAATCTGTGTAGTTACAGTACAACCAAGAAGATGACCCACCTGTACCTGCATCGACATCCCTCGCTTATTGCGTGGAGCTTTCAACATTTCTGTTTCAGTGCGAGGGGGACACTAAAGACCAGCAGAGCATGATGCAATCTTTGACAAAGCTAGTGCGAACGCAAGTGGTGAAGCGTAGGCGACAGCGGACACTCGATAGTTACTTTCAGCAAGATGGCTACATGTAGCCACTTCTCTATGTGACCAATTCTATAAATGAAAAGACATTTTTTCCCGAACCAATCGGGCGTCATTTATGGAGGTGTGACTGTAGATATTACTACGAAATAATGGTAAAAAAAAAACAATCGCTATACTTGATGTCACTAACCAAAACCGCTGGAAACCGATATTTCTACCGACTTTGACAAAATGTGAGATAAAACGAACTGCGAATACTGTACCCTGTAGTTACATCGCTAGAGCTAACGCGATAATGCTGAAGCAGTAGAGAGCAACTGCCGAAGTTTTCAGGCTCTGGGCAACTGAAGTAGCGGGAGCTGGGGAGGTCTGGTCGAGTTTTGGGCCGGAAGAGAAGCGAGGTTGGATCGTTGGGGCAACCACGTCGTCAAAGGAGCCGCTGGTGCTGCTAGTGTCGCCAAAGTTTGACGACATTAAGCCCTGCGATCCAGAAGCAGATAGAGAAGCAGTCGACGAAGCGTCTCCATTGGAAGCAACCACGTTGAGATCCGCCTCGCCGCCGCATGTCATGGCATTAAGTTGTTCAGTCGAGAAGCTGTTGGCGACACCAGGATGAGTCGGCACAGCTGAAGGGGAGAAGGCATTAAAACCAGTTGAAGGCGACCAGGTGCAGCATGGATCGCCGAGCTCTTCACCATTCGAAGCTCCGTCTCCATCCGAGTCCGCTTCACACAGCTCCTTCGTCCACTCGCGGCCGGCGGCTCCAAAAGCCTCGCCGAACGGATTCGTTCTCCCTCCTCCGGCAGCATTCATGTGGCCCAATGCAGCAACACCAGTCACCCCTTTGCCGTTCGGAATTAGAGCTACGAACGAAGGACGAGCATCGCTTTTGTAGGGGCAATGTGGACAGCGCGCAGAATCCCAAAACAAACTTCATGATATTGAAAAGGTCAGAGTAGTGGTGAAGGTAGAAGCTGTCAGGAAATAGGAAAATGAAGAATGAACCAGTGATGCGACATAAATCCCACAAGCTCCTCATATGCACCTTATCTTCATCGATGCCGCCATGTAAATTTCGAGGCCTATCAATCCGGGCTAAGACTATCTATGGCCGTTTTAGCTATCTTGTGGGTGCGACGGGTCGTTTAATAGTTGGTCTCGAGAGACAACAAGCAATCATGGCATCTTGGGTAGGCCGAAGATGGATCGCACACGATTTGATACTCTCTGACCAATGCGAGAATGGGTATGCAGTTGATGAAGAACGTGAAGGATGGCTCCCTCATGAAGGGCGTGAAGGACGGATCACGGCGGTGAGGGCACTGGCCGTATTCTCTTGCAGACATCAAGTACGCACTGATGGTTGTACTTTTGTAGGTTGAAAGACGAGATCGCACGGTCGATTGGAGCTGGATATGAAGGTGGTGTCGACCCCGTTCTTGAGTACCGAACCCAGAGGTGTGAGGGGAAAAAGGAACTTTCGACTCGAGTGCTTTAGCCTAACACGATCTCTGCAGATTCAACCGCTACAATGACCGACTGGAGGAGCTCTCCAGGGCTATGACGCACTACACCAATGCAACGCACACGTACGCTCAAGCCACAGCCCAGTTGATGCACGCATTTTCAGCGTTCTTTGAATCTCAAATGCAGGATGCACAAGAAGGTATTTGTAAAGACAAAATGTTTTTGTCTGCTACGATACAGCTCACCTGGCTCTACTATGATTACAGGCGAGTCTGGATGTCAGTCTCCAGGGGTTAAAGCTCTAGCCCAGAGCTCCCTCCGAGTGGAGGAGATTCAGCAGTCACTGCAGGCAAATGTGCTCGATGTGGCTCAATCTCTTCAGTATCGAACGGTGGTGCAACCGCTGCAAGAGATGCGCGGCAGCAATGCCGCTTTGAGTCAGCAGCTCCGAAATCTTAAGCAAAAGGTTAAAAGTATGAGGGTCTGTGAGGCCTGCGGCCATTCTAACTATCATGTACACTGCAGCTCAGCGACTTCGACTCGGCTCAGCGCAACGCTGAGGCGCAGAAAAAGAGCCCACCGGACTTTGAGAAGGCACAGCAGAAGCTGCAAGCTGCGACTGCTTCCCTTTCCGCCGCGGCAGAAAGTGTCGACGCAGATATGAGCGCTATCGAAGCACGACGCGATTCGGCTCTCAAGAATGAATTGCTCACCGTCGTAGCTTCACAGGTGAGTTGATTAAGTCGGGCCCAAGGCATTACTCACCATGTTTCCGTGTAAACTCCCAGATCTTCATCCACTCCCGTGCTAACGAACATCTTCAGCAATTAGTGCCGCTCCTTCCTGGTGTAGCCAAACCGCTCGTCTTGCTACTCGCTGAGTCGGCGCGTCGTCGTCGACCTATCAATCCAGCCACATCGGACGTAATGGGTGTGATCTCTTACTGCGGAGAATACTCCCGAGGTACTTTGGATCAACCGCTCAGTAGCCACCGAGACTCACTCGTTGACGTCGCTGCTGTCCACCCAATCACAATCGCTCCTTTCAAGGTAAGGGCGCGCATTATTTAGGTTCGTTCCGAGGCTCACCGTGTCCTTGCAGGAGATGCACTTCGCTGAGAATATGGCTGCAAGCACCTACGGCCGGCGACAACAGTGAGAATAGACAACTTCAAGATAACTGTAGCCATGTCAGGCTAAGTGCCTACAACGCAGATTTTATCCAATCAAAAAAATGATTAAATTGCCCATTTTGTTCTGGGGATCGTGCGGCGCAGACACACCTTGACACTTGAGCGACCATGCAGCCCTTCACCCGCTGTGTGCGCCTGCTGGGCGCCCGCGGCTTCGCCAGTCATGCCAAGCCGCACGTGCACATGCCAGAGACCGCCATGATCAGCAACAATGTGCGTCGTGTTCGCTTCTCGTCGTCGAATTTGCGCCCACTCTAACTATTATTGTCGATTTAAAGGGTACGCACCGATTCGAGCGCAAAGGATGGGAGTACTCGGCCTACATGGGGATGCTGGGCGGTCCCATCGTGCTGTATTTGGGCCTCACGAACGTCCCAGAGACGGACTCGGAGGTCTTCGCCAGGTAGAAATTACTGACCATTCAAGGTATTGTAGCTGCTGGTGCTGACCTGGTTCTAAATTGCAACTGTAGAGAGGAGGCGCTGGCCAAACGCGCTGGTACGGAGTTCCTCGTGCGGCGTCCCAGTGGCCCTGAAAGCAAGCGCTACTCCTTCAAGTCCAGTGAGATCGGCGAGCCGCCGGCTCTGGAGGAGGAGGAGGAGGAGGAGTAGAGACTTACACTGTTCTCCTAACGATAGAGCAGCCGCACACACAAAGATACAAAAGAATTGCCTACTGAGGATGTGGAGTCTGGACGGAAAGCGACTGGAGTAAGAGAGAAACAAACAAATAAGTAGGGCACAAAGTGGCTCTGACTGCTTAAACGTGATTGACGAATCTCGTGACTTAGTTCGACTGCTTGAGAAACGCCTTCACCTCGTCTGCTGAACCGCAGCTCGTGGTCAACACGTCGCTCGTGCCGATTTGCTGTCGGATGAGGCCACTCAGCACACACCCGACCCCCAACTCAAAAAAATGGTCCACTTCCTTGGCCACACAATAGTCAACGCTGTCACTCCAACGAACGGTATGCACGACCTGCTTCTCCATGACCTCAGCGATCTCCTCGGGTGTCTTGGGCGTCGCCTCCGCTTCGACATTCCACACTACAGGAATGTTTGGCTCTTTCAGCTTATCGTCACGCAATAACTGTTGTAGGTGCTCGTGCAGCTCCAACTTTGCGGGTTCCATCAGTTCACAGTGGAAAGGAGCACTAACGTCCAGTAGCATAGCACGCCGTGCCTTTTTGGTGGCCTTTGCTTGAGCAATAACAGCGGCGACAGCCTGTGCGTCGCCACTGATGACCGTCTGCTTGTTCGAGTTGTAGTTGGCCACTTGACAGACTTTTCCCGTGCTAACTGTAACCTCTTGACACAGCGACTCGGCGTCTTCAGGGCGTACGGGCATCAGAGCCGCCATGGCGCCTACACCAGGCGCAACAGCTCGCTGCATGGCCAATCCGCGGAGGTGCACGAGACGAGCAGCATCCGCGAACTCGATGGCCCCAGCCGCCACCAGCGCTGAGTATTCACCCAGTGAATGACCCAGAGCGAAATGCACAGGCGGCAGCTCCGTCTCATGCTGTAAAACACGCAGCACCGCCACAGACATCGACAGCAGCGCCGGCTGAGCCACATGCGTGAGTGTGAGCTCGTCGGCCGGACCTTCCATCATCCTTCGCCGTAAACTAAGCCCCGTAGCCTCGCTGGCCTCCTCTAGTACGTCGCCTACGATGCGCGGCCAGTCTGCCAGCAGATCTTTGCCCATACCCACACGTTGGCTGCCCTGACCAGGGAACACAAGCGCAAGACGACGCAGCGCCATCACTAACGAAGATTTCTGTTCAATTTTGATGATGATACTTAAGAGGTGCACGAGACGGATTATATGAGAGACGCCTCTGGAGCCACTACATGTTGTTTCTCTTATCTAAGTCAAGCACACACTCTGCTAATTGCTCATGAGCATGAATATACGCTGGCCACTTCCGTAGTCGCTCGTGGGTAGTCCTCGTCGTGTCGGATATCTACAGTCCCAAGTCTACCGGCGTCCTCCACGGTTGTCATTGCGATCGCGCCGACGGCCTCCTCCGTTGCCTCCATTGCCGCCACGATCTTCTTGACCACCGCGTCTGTCGTTATTTCCACCATTGCGGCCACCACGGTCTTGACGTCCACGCCTGTAGGTACAACATCAACCAAAAGAAGCATGTTAGCACTTAAGGTCTCTTCCTCTGCGTCAAAGTATCAGCCACTTACATTTGATCACGCTGCTGCTGCTGCTGCTGGTGGTGGTTGTTCCCCTTATTGCCTTCACCTCCACCCTTGTTCTTTCGTTTGCGTTTATCATCAGGCCCACCTTTCTGATCGCCTCCATTGTTGCCGTTGCCATTGTTATCACGACGTCGCTTTCCTTCTGGCGGGTTGCCTGTGGGTGTCTCGCCTTCACTCGCTGGTTCACGCTCACGTTTGCGAGACGACGACACGAGCGACACGATCTTCCGAGCGCCTCCAGTTGGGGTTCCAGTTGGTGGGGCCATCCCAGCCGGTGACGCCGTCGCCGTGGACGGAACTGGAGGCCGCGTGCGATCACGTGCCGCTGGTCTCGTGCGCTCAACAGATTGCTGCACCTCCTTCGCCTTGGCCTCCTTCTCAGCCGTCAGCTGACGACGCAACGCAGCCTCAGATTGCTCTGCTGGGCGTGATCTCGTACGACCAACGTCAGGAGCAAATTGCTCCGACTCACGCTCTTGTCTCGCTCCTCGGTTCGACTTGGTAGACTCAGCATCACGTTCTGGATTTGGCGACGACGTCGACTTGACTGGCTCCTCGTTTCGTGCTGGACTACCGGTACTGGCGGCCTTCGAAGATACCAAGTGTTTCCTTACCGAGTTCGTATCGCTGTCTTCGCGTCCGTGTATTGGGCCACGATTTCTCGAATTCCGTTCATGACGATCATGGCTGCGACTGCGACTGCTGAGCTGCACGTTCGTGTCGCGATCTCCACGTCCTCTACGGCCTCCTTCACCTCTTCCACCTCCACGGTTCGATTGGCCTCGCTCACGTCCACGTTCGCGAGAAGGGCGCCGGTTTTCACTGGTGTTCCCACGGTCCTCCGTTCGATCCCCTGACCGACTCCGACGCGGAGCTGGCGATCTCTCGTGTTTGCCGGACGCTGAGCCACTGCGTTCACGCGTCTCGATCGCGTTCATCGAGTTGCTGCCAGCCGCGGGCGATGACTCACGATGGTCTCGATGACCGCGTCGTTCTTCACTTAGACGGCGCGCACGAGGTGCTTCAGCTGAGCTGTCTCGACGGTCTTCAGACTCTTCACGTTCTACACGACTGCGACGGTCATGAGGTGGCTCAGCTGAGCCACCACGTCCACCACGGCTATTGCGATTGCGATTAGCACCACGTCCACGCTCCGAGTCGCGCTGCTCAGTCCTTACAGACAGTAAGTTGTTGCTACTAGTGTTTTTTCCCATCACGATCTCCCCGCTTTCCAGCTCCTGACTTTCAGCACGGTTTAGCACTGGCTTTGTAGAGTTCTCACGCTTGATGTCGCTGTCCTTATCGTCATCCTTGTCGTTCTTCTTGTCCTCCTCCTCAACGTCTGCTGTATTCTTCTTGTCATTGCTGGACGTCGCAGTAGTCGGAGATTTAGCTGGCGCACTGCGAGTTCGTAGGAGTCTGTCGTCGACTAGTGAATTCTTCCGCTTCGTCAAGAGCGCAAAGTACCGCTTGGCCATAATCTTGATATCTTCACGGTCTTCACTTGTCAGCTTCTCCACGATCACCAAAATCACGTCTGCTGTACCACGACCCGCTGGGAACACATCAATGAGCTTCGTAAGCACCACCAGCGAGTTACGAATGGGCATGTACTCGCCACTCGAAAGAGCCGTCGTGTACACGAGCTCCAGCTGCTTGTGCCAACGCGCATACGCCGACTTGAACTGACGATGAGCGAGACGCTTCTTGTCATCGTGCAGATCCAGACTCAAGCCCATCTTCCCGTGGATCGCTTCGTCATCGTACGTCGCACCGTTCTGGTACCATCGCAGAATGAGTCCCAGCGTCTCCTTCATGAAAATACCAAAGTTGCTCGCCTCGCGCTCTGTAGCACACAACACGATCGCCGACACCTTCATGTTGACCTTGTGAATGTACTGCAAGGTACTCATCTGAGGCGTGGAAAAAGTGTGCAAACGCTCCATAAACTTGGCAGCAAACAACGCGTCTTCAGGCGACATGAGAGAGCGAGGGATCACACACTTCTGCAGTAACTCATCGATGGCAGTCTGGTGGTCGTTAGGTTCGTCTTTAAAAAACTTGCTCTTCATCTTTTCCAGTCGCTCGTACACGCGTTTCCGGTGCGCCACCTGCTCTTTCTGTTCCGTGGTCAACACGTCAATCATCTGCGTCGTCTTCTCCTTCAGCTTCTTCCGTTCACTTGCACTAAGTGATGCGTTGGCTCCAGACGTGACAGAGTTACGCAGACGAAGGATTTCCGACTCGTACTGCTGGAACGGGATATGGATATCGTACAGCTTCAGACCCCAGAACGTCGCATACACTTCTGGTGTTAGTCCTGTGAACGGGTCTTTAAGCTTGCGGTCGGGGCCGTCGCTCGTACACAGAGCTTGTCGGATGTCGTCTAGGAAATCGTCATTGTACATGTACCAACATTTGGCTCCACTGGAAGTACCATTGGCTGCTGATCCGTTGGCAGCCGCTCCGTTGCTAGCTGTGTTCGAGCCGCCAATAGCGTGCACACCCCGCGGGGCAGTTTGCAGTACTGGATCATCACTGCGCATTGCTGGACGACACAGAGACATCGCCAGCTCCGGTTGCACATTAAAGTCCTGAACTAGTGTCGTCATCGACGGGAGCATTTTCCTGTACACCAAAGGGTCTACCACTCCAGCCAAGAACTGCAGCAGCTGGCTGAGAGTGAGCTGACAAGTGTCAAACACACGACCGAGCAACTTTAGGTGCGGCAGCTCTCGGTCTTCATGGTACTCGATACGACTGCGCATCTGGCAAATCAAAACACACAGCGGCAGTGCTAAATCTCGCTTAATCAGAGCATCACGTAGTCTTGGGATGGCTCGACGGTTCTGGAACTTTGGATCTGTCGGTTCGTACCACAAGTGTGGCCCCCCAGCCTGCGCTTCCAGCTGACTCGCCGAGATATCCTCCAAGCTCAAACACGAGCCCATCTTCGTCAACAGTTCGCTGAGCACAATGAGATCCACAGACGCCCAATTCTGAAGACGCTGGACGAGATATTGCAGAAGGCCTGCCAGCTCCACGTTCGGATACTTGCGGTAGAAACTTCCTGAGAACTGGCCAGTGACGTCAGCCAGAGCGAGACATGAGTGCCGTCCGACTTCATAGATTTCTGCGGCCTTGATAGCTCACTTACGAGAACAAAAGAGAGCACATCCATCCCCAGTGGCGTCACGAACTTGAAGGAATCCACCACGGGCTGGATCAAGTTATCGTACGACTGAATCTGACGCAGCATCGTGCGAAACACGATCAAAGGGTTCGAGTGCGCCACATGAGTCAGACTGCGAGCCGACAGCTTCGCTCGGTCCGCTGTAAGTCGTCGCATGACTCCGCGTGTACTCTGCACTACTTCTGCCTCTTTCAGACGCAGTTCTGGAAACTTGTCGTACGCCTCGAACCAATGGAGGTACAGGCGGTAGCGTTCATCACACGGCAAGCCCTTGACCAATTCCCACACTAAGAACGCCGTGCTCGGGTTGCATTCCTGTAGAGATATCGCAGGAAGGAACGTATTCACTAGCAGCGACTTTACCTTGTCCAGAAGAGCAGTACCGTTCTCGTCCTTGTCACCTGAAGCGCTAGTCGTCTTGGCGTGCTCTTCAACTGATTTGCCAACGATTCGCAACAGCTTGACGAAAAGAAACTGGTCGTGGAACAATTGCGGGCCAATCATATCCACAATCGGGAAAACCTCAGACACGCAGTCTTCTAATGTAGCCACACGACGAATGTAGTGATTGCTCGTGCTCGTACCCGCCTTTGCCTTTTTTGAAAAAGTCGCTGATGCACCGCTCTTGTCACTGACAAGCTCCAGACTGCGATAGGACAGAGCAGCGTACACCTCCTCAATCATCACATTCACAACAGCACAGAGCTCTGTAGTGAGCGGTGTAAACGTAAGAGGGTTTACTCCTCTCTTCTGGAACCACCAAATCATCTCAAAGGCTCGTTCTCGTGCGCCAATCTCCAAGAGCCCAATAATCAATCCGTACACCTGGTTGTGCTCTGTGTCCTTCTTGCGTTTCTCCGCAGCCGCTGCTGCTTCATCGTCGCCTCCCGGCTTGTCAGTGTCTTTCTTAGCAGCAAGACTGATTTGGCCAAACGACCCCGCTTTCTTAATCATCTCCTTCTCATGCTCCAATGACATCTTCAAAATGGTATCTCGAGACGGCGCCAAGTGTGGCAAAAGCGCCTCCAAATCCAGCAGCCCCTTGTTCAGTAACGTAGCAGCGAGACGGTAAAGCGAGCGTGGTGTCGTAACTCCTTCCGCAGCGGGGGGATCGCGCTTGTAGAACTGGAACTTAAAGCCCATAACATGTGGTAAACTCTCGCGCTTGAAAATGTCCAGAAGCTGGGCGAAGCAGTCGTTCCTCGGGCGCATCTCGTAGGCGTCCAGCACCAAATCCAAAACCCGATTTGCGTCTAAATCAAAGTAGCCAATGAGCGCCATCAAGTCCGTTCGGGTTGCCTCAAGTTGGCTCTTGGCCACGCCTGTGTGCAGTAGGCACAGCACCTTGGAGAAGCCTTCCGTCTCCTCACGCAGCAGGTTGTACTTGGTCTGTGTATATAGAGTCTTCGTGTTGATACGCACCATTTTCTTAGCAAGCAGCTGCGGCTCGGGCGCCAGCTCGGCGTCGTGCAGTAGGTCGAACTCGAGTAAACCCTTGAGGTTCAATAGGGGCACAAGCTTCTCGTCTGCTACGAACTTTACCAGTGCACAAAGATTGCGCCACTCTCTCGATGTGTGACGATCATGGCCACGTTCACTGGCCTCCACTTCGTTGCTGATGACCCACAGCAGGTCCGTCAAGAGGTCACACGCCTTCGGATGCTTCATCTACAGAGTATTACAGTGTAAAACCATTAAGATAGTAGTGAAAAGGGTTGCTTCAGGACGTGTCTGTACCAGTTCGGCCTCTTTCAGCAGTCCCAGCATCTCCTGCTTGGTCAACTTGGCGTTTAAAACGTTCCATACGAGCTCGTACAACAAACGTGGTAGCTCTACAGCAGCAGCGTTTAGCCTATCCATGATTAGCTGTGTGAACTCAGTTGCAACACGCACCAGAGTCCGCATCAGGGGCTGAAAAATCGTCCAAGCCTCGCGTCACACGCGCCAGTCTGCACGGAACAGAGACATCAATTCTAAGACCATTCTGAGCCCAATGCCACGTCTGCAGGCTCTACGTACACATCAAAACGTCCATTGTCCGTCCAGTGATGCAGCACGCGCTCGCCGATGAGCGTCAAGCCTTTGCGGCCGTTGTCCATCCTCGCTCGATCTTGCAATTCACCCAGCACCACTATTTTTCATACTGAGACCTCTGTGCCAAAGGGGGACTATAACATGGTGTAAACGAACCTAATATTGTGTGCAGCACTTGCTTCAAAGTACCGTATCGCACTTGTTGATTCCGACAGCAAGTAAATTTCGACATGAAATTTTATCCAATCAAATCGCACCAAATAGAACTGTTGTCATCAGAGAGCCTACCATTCAGCACTTGTGCTCGCCGGCCGCCATGCCCTTGTGGGGAGGAGCCTTTCTGCATGTGGTGACGACGCTGAGCTGGTTGCCCACCAATACCTTGGGCTTGGTGTCCCCGCACCAGAAACGGTACGAATCAGAGCCTATGCTGGATGACTTGCAAACTTGGGGCTGTCTAGCACACGTGCGTGTTCCTCCTGAGTCAAGACAGGCGAAAGAAAAGCTGGAAGCAAATGTAAGACTGTGTTTATTACTGGGTTACAGTGAGGCAGCCCTAGGCTACAAGTTCATTGACCTGGTGACAGCGCAAGTGGTAACAGCTCGTAGTGGCAATGTGAAGTTCCATGAGGAGTTCACGACTGATAGCATCTGTTAGAGAACGCATTCTTTGATGGTGACCATACACTTCTCGAGACTGTACCCGTGGCGCGCATCAAGACCAACATGGTGACGTACCTTCCAGGCTGGAGTGACGGCATCTGTGGTGTATTGATTTCTCCGTAGTTGCGGATTATCACCCGTCGACAAAGAAGTGACACCGCCCAAGATGTTCAAGCGACGAACCCTCGGTCAGGTGATGTACGGAGACGCCAAGGTGCAAGGGACTCGACGGCGTCACCTCCGAACGTTCCACGAGTATTGGATACGGGCATATGTCACTGAATCCAGGCTGTCCTTATTATTAATAATAGACTGGCCGGATTCGCATTCAGCGGACCATCTACGGTACGAACCCTCAGTGGCGGTTGGGATGAGTTCGCGGAAGACTCAGCGACCCTTGGAAGGCACGTTCACCGTCTGGGACAGGGCGCGGACCGTTAAAGATGCTCATGCGACGGTGCAGACGACGCTTGGCATGCAAGAAGATCCATAACGGATCATGGTTCACTTGATATTTGTATATTTGATTAGGACTTCTTATTAGGAATATACCCGAAAGGGTAAGCTTAAATACAGAACAGAATTTCCACTCAAGCACACAGAGCGACGTCCGGCTTCAAGGTAAGCGTCTGTGGTGTAGCGGGATCAGCAAAATCTGCGAGATTGCTGGATCCAACTTACCAACTGCGCCCAGACACCGACTAACGGAGGGGGTCCCCCGATGATCCGTGTTCTGCTGAACTTTCCTCATCTTGTGTACCCGTCGGTAGGGCGGGATCTTGCTCTCTCGGTAACTTCCGAAGAGTTCAAGTGGTGAAGCTTGAGTGTCTTGGCGAGACGTGGGGATGGGGTGGAGCAGCAGTGGAAAATCTTCACTCTGCGTCCGTGGATGGTTCCGAATCCTAAGCGAATATTCGAGCTTATGGATCCGGGGCCTAGATCGTGGATCTGGCCGTAGGGTTTCCTTGCGGGTGTGTTCCCTTGCCTTTGTAGCTCCTTTGCGTCGTACTTGCCGCCTCCTGTGACGGGATCTTGAGAGTTGAGAACCTCTAGGGTGTAACCGACCAAGTAGTAAATTCGGTTAACCTGTTGGATCTGCACGTGTATAGGAAAGCTCACTAGGTTGTAGGATCTGGCCAATGTATTATCCAGTTATCGCTACCAACACTAGATTCGCAATTCCCAACCTTCACGGAGCTCGTACGGCCAATGTAGTTCCGGTTCTTGAGGGCGGGAAGGCACTTGCGTGTTACTGTGCAAATTGAGGACTGTATTGATACTTAAGCCTATACCTGCCTGGATTTCTACCTTCTATGTCTTTCATCTGCTAAATCCCTTACCAGGCTCGGCTGCATGTCCCTTCTTCCCTTGACGCATCATCCCAGCTGTGTTATCTTCAGATCCACCGGATCCATGCCGTAATCATCATGGTCACTGTGGTGTTGGAAATCCCACGTGAACTCTAGCTACAGATGTAGTTAGGATGTTCCCACAACAATACGTCTACTAGGATAGTAAACGATCGTTCGGGCGGACCTGAAGACCCCAGTTCTGCCCTTGCAGCGGGACAAACTGGACCTTGTAAACTACTTATATAGGCCAACCAGTAAAATAAGAACACGCTACTAGCACGAGCAAAGCTAGCAGGTGTTTTGAATCCTCGTGGTCCCAACAGCGGAAGGGTACCAGGCACAAGTAAGCCTTTTACGAGATCACCGAGTGTTCAACACTCGGCTGGAAGAAATAAAAGGGAGGCAATTCAAGCACTCCCAGTCGTGCAAATAGGCAACAATAAGCCGTCACGTAAAACCTCCCGATAATAATCGGCCAATACACAAAGTATCTAAAGCGGCCGGATGAACCCTCGCTACAGAGCTTCGAGCTAAAGAGAGGCATAACACACTCAAACAAGCTT